TTCCTCCGCCGCTAGTGGCCCTTCCGCAGTTCGCCGACATTTGCTGCGGAGAGTCCTGTCCGATGAGTAGATCTTCCGTTTGGGAGCCGGGTTATAGTTGCAGTTATTTCTCCTGGCTTTCTTTGCATTCGTCGTACTTCTCCCTTCTTCATTCTGGGGGTGGTCGTGAGCTCTCTTTTCTAGACGGTGGAACGGCTTCTTTTTCTTGTTACCTTCATATTTCCAACGGGGAAACTTTCTTTTCAATTGCTCCTGCCTCCTAATGGCTTGCCCTTGTACTTGTCGTTGTTCCACCTCTGGAGCTTGTGCCTGCCGTGCCGGATCCTGCAAAAGATCTTTGAATATTTGCATTTTATTACGATCATAATAGGGTTTTATTTGATCAATGTTTGCGGAGCATGTTTCACCATTCCTGGCTTTTAACTACAGCGTGAGTTATTTTTTCTATGACATATGGTCCTTCAAATCGTGGAAAAAATTTGGCGGTTTTATCTTCTGGTGCTGAAGAAAGTGAATGCTTAATTCTTAATACTTCATCTCCTACTTTATAAGTTTCTCCCCGTCGTTTCAAATCGTAATAAAGTTTTTGTTTTCTCTGTGCTACTTCAGTGTTCTTTTTTGCTTCTTTAACTAATTTTTCTATATCACCCATTTTAAATTCTGGGGCTCTTTGTTGAACATAAAATAATTTATCTAACGGCGTTATAATCTTTCTGCCTAAAAATAACTCAGCAGGAGTTTTGCCCGTTGTATCATGTTTTGCGGTCCTAAGGGCGAAAGCAAATTCATTGACATAGTTATCCCAGCTTTTATGAAAATTTTTAACATAACTACGGATAATTTTCACTATATTTCTATTGACCCGTTCCGCTATATTTGATTGCGGCCGATACGGGACCATTTTTAAATGACGTATGCCCAGTTTTTGGCACATGTCTTCAAATATATTACTTACAAATTGAGGACCATTATCCGATATAACTTTTAGGGGCGCCCCGTATTTTAAAATATATTTATTTAAAATAGAATCAGTAACTAATTTCGCGGAGGCTCGTTTTAAGGGAACAATTTCGGTCCACTTACTAAAATGATCAACCATAACAAGGAGATAGCGACTTTTATTTAACTGACTTTTTGGGAAAAGGCCCAATATATTGATGCCAATTATTTCATTTGGAAATTCGGATTTAATACTATTTAAAAACCCGGCCGGGCGGAAATTAATATAATTAACTGCTTGACATGTTGGGCAGGACTGGACATACGCCCTTGTTAACTTTTGCAGTTCAGGAAAATAGACTGCCTCGCGTACGCGTTGGATAGTTTTTCGAATACCAGCATGAGAAGCTAAAGGGCAGTCATGTAACTCCTGCAGGATATTTAATCTAAGACTAGCTGGGATAACAGGTCGAAATTCGTTGTTGAATTCGTAGTTTTTGTATAAAATAATAGACCATCTATTAGTTCGTAATGGGCCGCCCTATTTCTTATCGCCACAATATCTTGGTGGCTAAAATTTTCAGGATCCTTTAAATACTCATAAATGCTTCCAAACTCAGGATCCTTACCCAGTTCGGTTATTACAGTTTCTCGGGAATTTATTGTACATGCTGTGAGCATTGCCACCTTTACAGTATTACCTTCTTCATCTATTTTTATTCTGGATAGGGCATCTGCTACGATATTTTCCTTTCCGGGTGTATGCTTGATTACCAGATTATATTCTTGTAGCTTGAGTGCCCATCTTATTAACCTTGGGGATAAATTTTTTCCTGAGTACCATTGATGATACTTCTAGTTACCGCCGCATGATCAGAATACACTGTTATTGGCGCCTTTCCAAAATAGACTCGGAACTTTTGCACTGCTAACAGAACTGCAAGTGCCTCTCTCTCGGTCGCGGAATAATTTATTTAAAATTTCTTTGTGTTTGATTTAAAGTTCGACTAAAAAATGCCACGGGCTGCTGATTTTGCGAAAGTACCGCTCCTACCGCATAATCCGAAGCATCCGCTGAAATTTCTAAATTCTCATCCTTTTCAGGAAATTTCAACACAGGGGCTTGCGTTAATGCTTGTTTTAATTTTTCGAAAGCACTATTGGCTTCGGCCGTCCACGAGAATCTTGCCTTTTTCCTTTTTAATTTTAACAATGGTTCAGCAATAGCTGCAATATCTTTTATAAAGGACCTATAATATGAACAAAGTTCTAGAAAAGAAGAGAGCTAGCTTCTTCGCCGTATTTGGTGGCGGATACTTTTGCACAGCGATTATTTTTTATTCGTCTGTCTCGATTCCTTTCTGAGATATTTTGTAACCTAAATATTTTAATTCAGGGGCTGCAAATTTGCACTTTTTGACATTAACTTTTAGACTGGCCTCATTAATTAAAGAAAACACCTGTCTTAAATCCTGTACATGTTCGTCCAGATTATCACTAGTAATAATGATATCGTCTAAATAGATAAATGTGGACTTTCCAAGAACAGGCCTTAACACAATGTCCATACATCGCTGAAATGTTCCCGGTGCCCCTGAAAGGCCAAACGGCATACGCAGAAATGCATAAGTGCCAGACTTAATTATAAAAGCAGTCTTAGGCACGTCCTCAGGTCTAACCCCTATTTGAAAATAACCAGTCGTTAAGTCTAAAATCGTCATAAATTTGGTCGACGTTATGTTCCTTAGTATTTCTTCAATAATAGGTAACGGATATACCGGATATTTAATTATGGAGTTTAATTTACGATAGTCAATCGCGAATCGCCACCTTTTTGGATGTGTCAATGGATAGTCATTATTTTTCTTACATAAAACCACCGGGCTAGCATAACTACTTGAGATGGGCGTTATGATCTTTTTACGTAGCATATCGCTGATGTGCCATTCTATAATTTTTTCCTTATTCTTATCATACCGGTATGCTTTGTGGCGAACTGGCAATGGCATGAATCTCGGTGTGTCAATACTATGGTTAGTAACCTGAGTAAATCCTGGAATATCACTAAATAACGAAGCAAATTCACTTACCACTTGTTGGATTCTTCTTGCTCGTCATTAGAGAGGTGGTCAAGTTTTTTACATCGGCGGTTCAGCGTTTTTATACACGCACTGGTTTCATTGTCAGCTTAAGGGACGCTTCATTAAAATCCAGCGTAGCTTGTGTTTCTGAAAGAAAATCTATTCCTAAAATTATATGTGCTTGCAGATTCTTTACTATAAAAAACATCACCTTTACTTGTTCGTCCTTGATACGGATATACAACGGTACTTTACCTACGCACTTACATTTTTCTCCTTGCGCCGCTAACACTGTCGTATTATCCGAATTATATATGCGGTATTTGCGAAAATACTTCCTAAAAAAATCTTCTGCCACACAGGAACACTGCGCGCCTGTATCCAGGAGTGCGGTGGCTGGGATATTATTCACCAAGACTTCAATCTTCGGAAGAGTCAGATTTTTCACCATTACTGTATTTAACTTGTAGGAAGAGGGGTTTTCTTGGCCTTCGGATTCCGCAACCTCTCGTCAGCAGAAATCCGTTTTAGTTTAAATCTTTTTTCATTTCCATGCTTTCCTTCTTTTTCCACTGGCCTTGAGACTTTTTTTTCTGGATTGCTATTGAACTGTCGACGTTCGCCGGCTGTTTTTGGATGCTCGGGTTTCCTTGCCCATTGATTCGCTTTGCTTCCGTAGCCGTGTGCTTGACTTTGCTGTGGTCTTGGCTGACCAAATTGGTTTCGTTGTTGATATTGGCGTCTTCTTTCAATGTCCGCCGTTCTTCTACTTTCAAACTGGATTGCTAGCTCAAATAACTTTTCCAGTGTAGTCGGATTCCTTAATTCAATAAAGTCTTGTACTTGGGGAAGTAACCTCGGCAAAATCACTTGAATTATCTCAGGATCCGGACGGTTTCCATACAAGAGTTTGAAGACGTGAATTTTTCTTAAAATAAAGCTTGAGAGATTTTCGATTCTTTGCTGATATATGCTGAAAAGTTCCGTTTCTAATTTCGCACGATCCCTTACGACAGGGAAGGCTTTTACTAGGGCAGTCTTGAAGTTTTCGTAAGTATAGGTGGGACTTCCTGCTTGACCCAAGAGACTTCTGCCTATACATTTGAACCAATTAACCGCTTGGCCCCTCAAAGCGCTGGTAGCTAAGGTAACTTTCTGAAACTAGTGCACGGGTAGAGCATGAAGTGGTCATCTAGTTTTAGCGCGCATGGTCTAGAAGCGCGCATGGTCTGGACGATGTAACCAAATCCTTCCAGGGCGGCAGCTGGCATTTCTGGATTCTGAGCCGCTTCTGCAGGCAGCTCAGGTTCTTCTTGAAACTCGGCCATGGCTATTCTTCTTCGTTGGGCGCCACTATCAGGTTCAGTGTTTCTCCTTACCTGCTTGGGGAACATTGAAGAACCTGACTCGGAACAGGGAGCTTACTAAAGCTATGTTCAATAAATGTGGGAAGTAGACAAGATACACAGGAAGGGTATACGAAACCCTTTATTTTTCACTCTTTACAAAAATTTCCGTACTTCGGAATACAGAGACCAACTACTTGTGGTCTGAACGTAAGAATATAAAAATATTTAACTAAACTCTAACTTAACTTTGGAATAATAAACAAGGGCCTACGTGGAAGATTGGCCGTATATTAACAGGAAGCCGTATGTAGTACAGAGAACTGTTAACACTACAATACGTTTAAAATTATCACGAGGATTAAACCTCTGGCCTGGAAGGCAACCAGCAACCGAGTAAAACTGCGAAGGCAAGCGACTAACTCCTTCCTCTCTCTCGCTTGGCAAAAAGCCACAACTTAAGTACTTGGCGTTCGCCAGACAAATTTTCCTTAAATAAGTTAAAGCTTTTAATTCTGGCCGGAAGTAGAAAATAAGAAGTGATAGTAAAGATTTAAAATAAAAATAAACGTTAGTAAAACTTAAGATCCTTACAACTATTAGAATTAATTTGTACAGATTTTTAAAAAATCACCTTTTGGAATATTCTGCTAGAAGAGGGTTTTTGAATGAATCTTTCCCCTCGATCCAATAATGTGTTCTTAAATCTGTAACGAAATAATTCAAATACTTGTCAAATACACAAAATAACCCCAAAACCAATCAAGAGTTCAAAATATTTGTAAAAATAATATATATATATATATATATTATTTTATATATATATATATATTATATATATATATAAGAACCAGATGCGCATAAAAATGAATCGCAAGAAAGTGGATTTTTTTTGACTGAAGACAAATAATTAATTCAATTTCATTACCAGTGTGTCACACATAGAATAAGAACTTTTGGGACAGAACTCTATTAGAGAGAAAACGACGCAAAATTTGAACTTATGTAAAATACGTGCAATATTGTATCTAATCAAAGCAAAAACTGAACAACCAGTAAATTTTTACGACCACTCGGTTCTGAAATATTTTCTCTCTCCAATAAGATGAACATGCTTTAAATGTTTGATTTATAATATGGGATAAGGTACTCAGATAGTTAGACCTCCTTAAATAATCGAGTTCCTGACCAAGAACTCTCATGAGTTTTTGCTCAGCTTAGCTTCCTTACGCTGCCTAATCTCCCCCTGCTCAAACAAAGTACACTTGCAGCAAACTAACTAAAAGTCTGTCTTGAACATAGCTAAGAAAACAGGGATAAAACTCAATTACGCAGGCACATTAATAAAAAAAATTTAAAAGTAACAAAAGCTGTTAACGTTACTTATGCGATTCATTTTTAATGGATAACAAGTTATATGATCGCAATACTGCAGTTACCCAGCTTCAATATCTATACACATCATTTCTGCCCAGCGTTAAACTGAAGAGATAAATATACCTCCATCAAAACTCACCAGGACGGCTATTAACTAAAAATATCCTGAATCGCAGTGTCGGCAGGTCACTAGGCTTGCTACTCCACGCTTTTTAAATACTAGTTTCATACGTAATTTAAACTTAATCTAATTTGCAATCATGAATGTCAACGGAAAAAATAAAAAATAAAACATGAAGAGAATTCTTTCTGTTATCAAATAATTTAATATTGAAATTTTCATTAATGGGAATTCTATCGATATAATTATTTATGATAGGAATACTTATGAAATAATTCATGCAGCACTTTCAGAAAGTTAAAGATACTTTTGAAATTTTTAGCGAAGAATATTTTTACACGCCGACTCAGCTTTACATTAAGGCTTTTGTTCTACGACAGCAAAATCTGAAGACTAATTTGGGAGTTCTAAATAAAGATGAACGGCTCAAATTTGATTTATGGAAGCTCTCGACGTGTATCACGTATCCTGTACGACCTCGGTCGAAATAAAACTAATTTGCAGTAAAAAAGAATTTTAGAAACATTACTGAAAGATTTTTCGTTGTATTTAATAGAAATGAAAGAGAGAATAAATATATTATATTTACAATGCAATAAAAATGAATTATGTAAAACGAATGAATGTTTTAAAAAATTGTTGCTTGATGGGAAATTTTGAATTGAGATTAATGGAGTTAGACAGGGTGAAAAGTGATTAATCATAGTTAAACAGGGAAACAAAGCAGTTAACAACAAACGCAAAAAATGAATAGTAAAGAGAAAACGCACAAAATGAAAAGTTAAAATTTGTAATATCAAAAGATTAGAAAATAAAAAACAAACGAAGTAAAAAACAAAGAAAACTGACACGGGAGCACAACAAAAAGAGAAAAAAAAAAGAATTAAAGAAACAATAATAAGAAGAATTAAATTCTGTAGTATTATTTAGTGGAGCAATTAACAGGTGAGGAAAGATAGACACACAGTAAGTAAAAATGAGAAAAAAATTAGCTGACAAGGAAACTGAGAAAAAGAATTAGCGAATTCATTAAATCAAATCAAGAGAAAATAATGAGTAAATAAATAAATATAAATATAAGAGAAACGTAAAAAATTTACAACAAAAGGAACAAAGCTTACCACGAAAGTATTACTTCCCTTTAATATACACATAAGTCAAAATTTGAACAAAATTTATCCACCATAAATTTATTTTCGCTAAAACTGACTTTCCTAATATCCATTTGTCCGATTTTTATGAATTTTTAAAACATTTACGGACTTTTGAATCACTGTATGTGAGGAGCTATAGAACTTGGATCATAGTAATGAAAAGTTGAAGATCAAATTGCTAATAAAATTTGAAATCATAATAAAAGTTGTTTAATGTTTAGTCTACGTTGTATAGATCTGAAGCATTTCGTAAATTAAAATTCTTTTTTGATAAAATTATTTAAATTTAGTACGTGTTTCTTTAGATTCCACTAATTCAGGCTGGATTCATTTTTATACGCAAGCGAGGGCAGAAGCTAAAACAAATACTCACAAAATATAAAGCGAAAGCAAATGTTTTTTCTCAAAAACATTAATCTTAACTAAAATGCTATTTTATAATACATTTATTTCATGTACATTTTTTTCCTATCGTAGAAAAATTTCTTTAGTTTCTTAAATTCAGATACAAAGATTTTCAATAATTATTTAAATTTTATAAATTGACATATAAATCTGTATAAATCACGTGCCATAATTACACCTTAGAATGCCTTACGTATAATGCAAGAAGTGTTATGTTGGATAAATATTTGAAGTTTAAATAATGGTAAATAAAAATACGCAAATTTTTTCCATACCCATAGCAGCGTAAAGGTTAGTTTGATTCAATGTGTCAATAGTCAGAATACGACTTGATGTCCTGGCACATACGTCATTCGCAGTATCCCAATCATATTTCTCGTTGTGTATTTCATAGCAGAGATTTTTGCTAATTTTCTTGAAACCGACAGGACACTGACTACTAAAATCTAAAACAAACAATGAAAAATAAAAGCTTTATAAAATAAAAGGTTTACAAAAATTCAAATTATACACATATTAACTAATTCCTATTTTCAAAATAAACAGAAGGCAAAACTTTATCAATTGATAAAACATTTAACTTTTTACAATCCGTTTCTGTCAACAAAATGGGCTTAGGTATCTCTTCCTTATCTTACATTTTTACTCTTTCTGAAGTTTCATCCTGCCATTATAAATACCAGAATGAAACGTAAGACCAATTAGGTCCTATACAGAGCAAAATGCAATATTACTTGACTGGTAAAAATATGTTCCGGATGTGAACTTTAAATGTTGCACTTCCAGCTTATTCTTAAACTTTCAAATACACTGTCAGCAGATTTTATTCAGCTTTATGATTATTCACCTCATCCAGGTGTTTTTAAAAAGGTAGTTATAAGAAATCCACATGTTTAAAAGAAAAGAAGTCTGTCATTTTTTCTGTCTGCAACATTTGTTAGAATCAAAGAATACAAATCTTTTGAATTATAATTACAATAATAGAGAGTTCAGAAATGGTTCTTCTCAGATGAAGTGCTCTCGTATATTTTGTAGCGAATCATTTGCGGCGAATCGCTATTATTTCGTTGGATGTAAATGATGTAGACATCTAAGTACTCAATTTAGAAGCACGCTTTTCGGTCGAATGAACAGATCACGAAACCACCGGTCCCTGCAGATTGCAGAGAGGCATGAACATTCAACGTCGACTCATGGGGTCATATATCCGCAGTCATTATCAAAAATTTAACAAAATTCTCCAACAACAAGTAATTCTCTCTAGAAAATACAGATTGCGCAACCAGAGAAATAAGGAAAGTAACAAACGTAAGGTCCTATAAAACAAGCATGTCAAACTCGCGGACGACATGTGGCCCTTGACATACTTTCCTGCGATCCTCGATTTACCTGAGAAAGTAACAAAAAATGTGTAGTTGTAATATATTAATAAAAACTTACGTTCCATCGACTATCGATGTAGGTGAATAAAATCTCGAGTGCCAAACGAAGATAGTTGAAACGATCTCTTTACAAGAGTATTTTCTCAACCGATGTTGGGAAAGTGCCAGCTCATTGGTACAGCCATTACCTTTAAACATGAAAAATCAGCAGGGACCCCCAGACTCTGAACTTTCTGACTCCTAACTGAACGAACTTTCCAATTACACCACGAAAGCATACTGTAACATAAAGGAGAAATTATTCACACATTCATAGTTTCAGTTAAAAAGAAAGTGACTGAGCTCTAAAGCAAAATTTCAATGAAGTAGTTAACAGACAGGCATCTGAACTGTGTTCTGAAAGTCATTAGTGCGAGCAGCATATTTCCAGACATCCGAAAGCTTGTTTCAAGAAAATGCCAGGTGTCGAGAAAGAAACAGTAGGTATCTACTATTTTATTTTCCTTTACGTTCGCACGTTACGGTGTTCGTACGGAATAGGAGTGAATAACGACGACAGCACTTGATGAAGTATCAAAGCACACTTTTATTGGCCAGTATTATTCAAGACAGCTCGTATATCACGTTTACAGTCGTCAAAGATCTACTATAAACTCGCTGGAACAATCACGACTCAGCCTTCAGGTTATCAGGCTACAACGGTGAAGACAGCTTCACTGCAAAGCACCAGATTACAGCTCCCGACTCTGCTCGGTCGTTTTCGGAACTCTACGTACTCTCGAGACTCTCCGCGCTACAACTCGCGTTGCATTCGACGATACCGTGGAGTACAACACCCGACTCCTTGGTTCAGTCGTTCCTGGAGCTCAACACACTATCTTGATGATGCACTAACCGCGGTACACTAAGAGACTCTTTCGGTGCACTCGATGACCAACTCGGCACTCGCTGACCGACTGTCAACTCGATCGACTCCGCACGAACTGATTCACTAGACGAGACACTAACTAACTGACTCTCCGCGTACCAGAGGGGTTTATATAGCTTTTGGATTGTGTTCGAGAACATTCTGGGCTAAACCGGTAAGAATTCGTTCCAAAAGGTTTTCCATTCGTCCATGGCATATCGACAATTTTATCGCCAAATGGGAGATTTCTTGCCAAATGTGGCAGCCCTGCCTTCCCTCGCCATTTCATAGCAACCCTAAACCTGCTTTGCGGGGAAGCTATCTTGCCGCGCCTGGACATTTCGTAACTGTATTATATAAGATTTTATACATTTATTCATTTTTAAATACGTAATTATGAAAATGGCACTTTTTCCCTTGCGGCCTATTCTATACCGATGTTTGTTTAGGCCCACTTAAGTTACTAAGCTTGAGAAGCCTCCTATGAAGCAATAAAGTTACTGTCTTTCTTACATATTGTTACAAAATTGTGCCGGCTAATAATATTTGCTAACAGAAGAACGTTAAAAAGCAGCGTCCTCTTACAATAATCTACTGACTGTATACCCAACGATTAGACGCGAAGTATCAACCGCATTTTTTCGTCCTAAAGCGAAAATTAATTCCTAAAGCGAAAATTAATTCCGTATTTTAGATTAAAAACATGATTACTGTTTAATTTCTTCAATATAATACTTTTATGATGTTTTTCAACAACATCAGTCAAAGTGTTCCTTCAAGCAATCTTACTATTTAAAAAAAAATCAGGGATTAAATTATTCTCATCTTTAATATATATATACCTTAAAATTCATTAAGTTCTAATTTTATGTATAAGCTCTAAAGAGCAAACTTAAGTTTGTTTGTGTATGCTTGGTACTGCTATCATATATAGCTAAGCTTTGGAAAAATTGTTTAAAAAATTAAAAAACATAACTGCAAATATCACTTAAATACGTTAAGTGGATAAAAATGTATAATTTTAATTGTTGTAAATATTACAGTTTCTGGGTTTTTTAACAGAACTCTTTATTGCTCATACTTACTTGCATTTTCTCTTTCCCAATGGTATTAAATTAAGATAAATACATTTATTAGCAAACACTTTACTACTCTTTTCACTAAATATTCTGCTTATCTCTAGCGACGTGATGAAGAATAGCGATTCAAAAATTTTTGAGTCCAAATTCGTTTCTAAATAAATTTTTCATTAAAAGAATCTCAATTCATAAACAGCGAGTAATGCAGAATCAGATTTCATAATATATTACTTAGGTTAGATTAACTGATTAAGGTAAAGCACTTCGAGGGGTATCTTCCTATGCGGATAGATGCCTTCGTAGAGGAGAGTCTAAACGAGATTGGCTCGCATCTATGTTTGCACATGGGAAAAAACACGAAAACTCTAATCCAGTCAGCCCATTTGGCCGGGATACAAACCCGAGTAAAAAATCTATCAATGTTTAGCGAATTTACCTCTAGGCCGTTGGTAGGCCTTTCATATATCGAAGCATCTCCTCAAGGAACTTGGGCTTATATATGCCTTGGATGTAGGGCCATTGTCAGCGCAGGTGTAAACACTGTGGCCGCACCCGACTGCAAAAGTTTTAGAATTTAGATTAGCATCGAGCAGCATAATTTAGAGATGCGAAATTTTTAGAACTTGATGAAGACTCTGGGTATCAGAATTCAGAGGTGGCAAAAATTTTAGAATTTAGGGAGGCACAGTGCAGCAAAATCTAGGACCTTCGAGGAATGCATCGGACGGGAAAATGCCTAGCGCGGGCCCTTCTTGGTTGCTTGTAGGTGTATGGTATCTGTGTGCAACTTGAAATACTAACGAGAAGAACGTCCTCTCGGTATACTGGTAATAAAGAAGAGGAGTGGAAGGTCATTGTGGTGTGGTGTGGTGTATTTAATTATGGTAAAGCACACTAGGGCTATCTGCCTAAGGGGAGGGATGCCTTCGTGGAGGTCTTTCTAAGGGAAACTGGCTCATATACACGTTACACATGGGGAAAACCACGAAAACACCCATGCAGCCAGCCCGTTCGCGGGATTCGAACCTCGGACCGAACTACCAGTGGTCAGCGACTTTACCGCTTGGCCGCTGGTGGGCTCGGAAGGTCATTGAATCCGTACTCAGGATTGTTCTCAATCACAAATGGCACGGAGCTTCACTCTTATCGCAAGTGTAAAACTGGTCGTCCCCCTATGCGGAAAGCTATTCAAAACTGTAAGTGACGGGAAAGAAAAACTGTTCAGTTTGTTTTAAAAAGTTAAACTGTTAAGCTATTAAGTTTCATGTTCCCGTTCAAAAAAAAATGACAGAAACCAGTAAGACTGGAAAAGTGTAAAAACACTTAAAATTAAGAAAATTAACAAAAGCAATATAAGGAAATTACCAAAATATCATATCAAAAAAAAAATTTAATTTTTTCAAGAAATTTCAAGATCTGAATGTGAATTGTTTACTGCTATAGTTGTTTTGATCAGAATACAATTTAATATCACTTTTACCTTTAATTTGAGGCTGAAAGCTTGTACACTGGCTGTAGTCGAAAGAAGACCATTGAGCTCCATAATAGAAGCTCGCCTGACACACTCTTTTCTCCAATTTCCAATCTAAATTTTAAAAAATAGTAGATCACTAAGGTTATAAAAATGAGTTTTAAATAATTGAAATACTACATATTTATTAATCCTAGAATGCTTCTAAATCTAGAATAAAAAGAATTTGCTCTCGGTATAAATTACTTTTGATTCATTGATGATCTAACTGTCAAATGGTGCATTTACTTCAAGGCAAAGATGGTAACTGATGCAGGTTGCACTTCATTATTTGTAACTCGCAATTATTCAACAAAAATTTTAGTATTATTTCCGAGTGGATTTTACAGATGTTTGTCTGTTATCGTATTTTTAGTTATTTTAAGACTATTTTCCTGACTTGGTGAAAGTATGAGTAACATAACCGAAAATTATTTGGTAAACTTTTTTTTTTTTTATCAGAACGCACACTGAGTAACTATCATTATATTTTAAGCCATAATCGTTACCCAGTCAAGTAAAATTTTGACGCACAAACAGTAACATTCTCATAGTTGCAAGGCGAGTCGGGCGAAGGAAAATAACCTTGAATTTATACTATTTTAAAGTAACAGATTATAGTATGGTATATTCATTTGCACTGTAGCAGAATTATAACAAAATACACACATTACAAGCTTAATTACATATGCAGAAATTTGAATATTTCTTAGATAACAAACAATTTGGAAGCAAAGACCAACACACAGAGTGCTCAAAAAAGTTTAATTACGCATTTTCATAAATACTGGTGCTAAACAAGTACCTCCAATTATAGAGTTTTTAAAAATAGGATAAAGAGAGTTTCATGAAAATCTCGTGACATGAAATACATGTTAAGTATGAATAATAAAATAATAAAATTTAAAAATTCTTTAATCGAATATTCTGAAAAAAAAATTATGACAGAAGAATAGCAGTCAAAATGGAGGAGGATAAGTTACTATTCAAGCACAATGGATCCGATACCGCATTCTTCGTATGAGATGTATCAGGCCATGTCAGTTTTCGTGATAATTCTGTCAACGGAACATTTTCTTCGAAGCAAGTACCTAAAGAAAGAAAATATCTTTATCATGTTTTAGCCTTTATTCACTTCCGTAATGAAGTAACTCAATGTTGCAAAATTTATCAAAATGTTTCAATTCGCAGCAAACGACTTTCATAGGACTTAAATTTTTTTCAAAATTAAAGTAGTTTATTCTATTGTTAAGGAACACTGCAGCAGCACTATGAGAGACTATGGTATCATCTTGAAAAGGGAAGTTAATGTACATTAGATTGTCTTATTAAAATAATACTCAATATCAACTTGATTTTATGCAGCTCGTATGCGATTTTAAAGAACACTCTGAAGATGAAAGTTTAGCGGGTAAATAAATAATCTAAACTAAACGAGATGTTCAAATTAATTAATATTAACTTTTAAGAGGTAATTTTTTATTGTAAGTATTATTTGTTTGTTAATATTAAAACTAAACGTAGGTTTTAGCTGATTGAAGCGTATGTAGGAGCTGAATTTCGGTAACAGAGTTCATATTTTTATCTTACATATAAATATAAATAATATTACATATAATATAAATAGAGAGATAGATAATAGATATGCCCTCAAAAATACATATGTATACATGGGTTATGTATATGTTTGTATATGTTATATAAATTAAAACAACGACAGCAACATTAACAATAATGTCACTAATAGCAATAATAAATAACGAACAGTGCAGTGGACAAATAACAATATTTAGAAAATATTCAAGAAACAAACCAACGCTTTGAAGTTCAAATGAAACATTTCCCCAGTCTTGGAAAACTCTAACGTTTTCTTCTTGAGCGTTTTTCAGGATCCTGTATACTTCATGGCCATTTTGTATTCCCAATTTGTTCCAGCTTTCTGTCCAGTTTATGTATAAAAGAAGTGTGACAGACACAAAATTTTCATGTAAACTGCAATGATAACACAATAAAACTTAATAATCAAAAAATAAATAAATATCAAAGCATAATCGATTGCCATTTATATTTTAAACATTTAAAAAAAGTGCCTCGCTGTACCCATATTAATTAATATACCAGAAGAATTCATAAAAGATAGCATCGTAAAATGAAAAAATGTCATTCATTGGATTTATTAACAAGTCAACAATTATTAACAACAAGTCGATAATCGGAAGCCTAAAATTATTCTCGGAACGTAAAAGGAATGCTTCAAAAATAAAAGAAGTATGGGAACTACTACTTTAGACGTAAGTGTGAAACTATTTTTTGTGAGTGTAATTGTGATATTTTGCGTATATATATTGTGCGTGTGTAAGATAAAAAATAAATAAATCAGCTTTAGAGTTTAATTTAATAATAGCTTCTTAATTCCTCATTTTTATTCCTCTTTATTCTAAAAAAGATTGATAACATTTCTGGACCGCATTACTTCTAGATAAATCTATGCCAAAGCTTGCGTAACATTGATTGCGCCCTTTTAGCTTTACCCTCTGAGTTGCTTGGATGCAATTTCGGTGTGTTCTCTTCCTATTGCAAAATTATTAAAAAATGTAAATGTTCTGGAAATAGGCACGATTAGTGTGTCAAATGAATTGTGGCCGCAAATGTGAATTTAAATAAAAATGGAATTTAATCCGCCTGGATTGCCAAGTTTCCTATTTATTATGGATTAGTATTCTACGCAATCATAATTCTTTCTCTTCAATATGGATCTACCTTTTACGCCTTTTCATCTTTTTCCTCTTTGTTTTTATCACAATTGAGTATTGGTATTTCTACCACTTCTAAATTTGTTTTCATTACATATCATATCAAATTTTGTGTACAGTATTGTTCTAACATAGGTATTTTGATACAAAATCGGACTTCTTCTGAAATGACGTAGCAATTTTTTTCCACATATTTCAAACCTGCACTATCAAGTTTTATAAAAATAGTCCGAGTAGGTTTTGAAAAAATAGCTCTGAAAATTTAGCTCCTCAACGTTAATTGATTTTTGTATATACGTATAGTTATTAGTATATTTTTTATTACGTTTACTTCACTTGTTTTCACAGTTCGAAATCTAGGTTCAATTCGAATAAAATTAGCACTTATTTATTTGTTTTTGAAATTTGTATTTTTCAGTAATTTTTTGTAAATTTTTAATTATAATCTATAAATGGTTTATCATCATCTTAAAGCAGATGTATTTCTAGGCATACCTGCAAAAAATTACAAAATGCGTTTTGAACTTTGGCATCTTTTTTTAAGTAATAATAACTCCAAATATTGTTTACGAATATTGTTAATATCTGAATTGCTACAGGTATTTTTTAACCTTAAATTCCAATTACACTTTTAAGAAGTAATCATACGGAAATATTTCGCTTAATTTTATTAATCATGCATAATACATATTTATTACTATTACACCTATTTTTTATAATATCTATTTTTTATATTATAAAGAATATTAATAAATTTTGAGATGTTTTTTAAATTAATTCTCCTCTTTTTCGGTTTCCTTCTTTCTTTTCTTATGTTTGTAATAGTAAATTTTTACTTTCTCCATTTTATCGGCTACTACTTTAAATTTATTTTGCATACATGTAACGAATTTTATTTTGCAGATTTCAAAATTGTGCATCATATATGTATACAATACTTCTTATTACATCAAATTATACATAATATCATAAATAAAACATGTATCTTTTACTTCAGAATGTTTAACAGCGGCAAAATATACTAGAATATAAGCTTTCTCTCTTTTTTTTATCTAAATGTATTATTAAGTGATATTATTAGGTTTATCTCATAAGCTGATGTGTAAAACAATTTTGAATTTTTAAACGTTTGGCCGAGTAATTGACTTGTAAATGGCTTAAAATTAATCAGATGACTCCTATCTTGCATTATTCAGTCAAAAACATTATTCCAAATGATTTGTATTGCATGATAATGAATCTCTTTACCGTTCAATAACCATTTCGTAGAATCGCTTCTGTTCCGAAAATAAAATTGTGAACTCACTTGTCTCGCATGTTACGAAATAAATTTGCGAACTCATTGTCTCCTTGTAATTTCTTTCCTTTCGCAAAAGTTGCCTTTCAAAGGAAATTCTTTTTGAAATGGAATAAGACAACTACTCTTAGAAGCAAGTCAAAAACAGACTTCCAGAAGTCTTTTCTGTGCTCTGTGTATATTTGCATAGAACACATGAAAGCTGTGGCACATAAACATATATTTATACATGCATGCAAGCTGTGACAGTTTTGCTGTTGTGAACCTACATTTTTAAAGAACATTCTACATCTTCACATGATACAAATTTAAAAAAAAAATGAAGAAAGAAATGAAAAATTTATGTTTTCCATTAAGAAAATCATTTTTATTCTCGGAGACATGGATTGGAAAAAACTGATTTTTCAAAAAAATCAAATAATATTCAAAATTCATAAAGAAGAAAATATAAATACTTGCAACTAAATTGTAATACGAATAAAAACCGATGCAAGGTATGCATATTTATTTTAATATTTTTTCCCTGAGTAAGTGAATATATTATCGTTTCCCAAAATTCACTGAAACATTTTTTAAAGTTAAATTAATAAAAAAAGTCAAATTTAATTGAGTAATAAACATGAATTATATTTGGTTCGAATTTTCTTAACTTCTTATATTATTAAGTGTTTGTTAACTAGAAGAGTCTGACAAATCGGAAAAGTTCCATTTTTTAAAAGATTGCAAAAGATGAAAACTTTTAGCCGCAAACCATATGGTAAACGGTTTTCCCATCTTAGAAACGGCAGTGCCTTATTAATTGACCATCTTTTAATACTTCAATAAATGTTAGCCTTAAATTGCTGCACGGTGTTAGTTTAGAATTTAAAATATTAAAATTTTGCGGATACTGAAGTTAGATGTACTTGCTTTCTAAAAAATAATGGGAGACAATCAGAAATTGCTATATGATGAAACGCTATATGATGTTACTTATTACTAAAAATTTGTTTGCTTTTATTTTCATAGAAAGCAAAACATAAATACTAACAAGCTTCATTTTCTTAAATTCTGTCATTCCTATATACATTCCATTCATATATACTGATAACGGACTCATAAGTATTTTTAAATAAATTGCCGAATTCTCAGTTCGTTAATATTGTTTATTTTTGTCCCTTATATACGGAAATGAAAATTTCCAACTATGTTAATAAAATAAGCAAGAAAAATAAATTAAAATTATTAATTAAATTGTAACGTATATTAATAAATTAGGCAAAAAATATGATTCAATACAGCATTTTTTAACAGTTATTACAATACCATATGATAACTGATAGAGCGAAAATCAAACTGATCAATAAGCAAATGCCGTTAACGCGAGAGTTACGTAATAATTAAGCAATATTTCGCAAAACAATAATAACATAATTTTTATCCTCATCAGCGAACGGCGCATTACGCCGAAGGGACACTATTATGCAGCGATTCCTGTTTTATAATAAAACTCGTGAATAATCTAATTTCCTTCGAAACCACTCTCCAGCAGAAAATAATGATTTGTATATGTATATATATGAAACTATTACAGAAATTTAAAAACGTTGTCAAAGGCGTAGCTGGGGGGAGTCAAGCGGGGACATTTGTCCCCGGGCGCAGCTTCCAGTGGGCGCCAAAGTCAAGTTACGAAGTTTTACGATAAAAGGTTCTCCACTCTTGGAAAACTGGTGGGGGCGCGAGATCTTCAGTTGTCCCCGGGCGCTGAAACTCCTAGCTACAGCTCTGGAAATTGTTCTGCAAGATGGAGCTTCTCTCTAGATTGCATCTTGAGTTCAGCAGTCATCGCAACAACATTTTAGATAGAGAAAAAGTGATTAACCGATCTTCATCAGTTACATCAGTATCACGCTCACAGGCCTCAATCTGTGTGATCTATGATTTTGGAGCTAATCAAAAAACATGTAGTACAAAGCCACTGTAATAGCACTGCTGGTAGTTTTATCTAGGTTCATATTTCCGTGAATGGGCTGGCTGTGTGATTGTTTTCGTGGTTTTCCCAAAAGTAATATAGATATAAGTCTTTTTTTTTCTTCGAAAATCCCCCAGTAAGGCATCCCTTCTCTCATACAAATAATAATTGAATTCTTACTGTTAAACAGTTCGTGCTACAAAAACAATTTGCTGAAATTGGAAATCTATAATCTTTTTTTATGCATCAGTTAAACTTCAAAGGTTTAATTACAGTGTTTACAGATTAACACAGATTTAAAACAGATTTTCTCTAACTGTTTCCCCGCGCTTTCAATAGTACTGTTGCTTTATAACCCGACTGATGAAACCTACACAGGTAATAAAATAAGCTCTGGAACGATACCAGATTTTTGATTACATCAAACTAACCAGCCAAGGTCAAATGAGAAGATAATTTTCAGTCAATGTTTTCCAAAATTTTTGATAATAACTTAGATTTCATCACTAAAATGGGTTATGTTTTGTGCTTATTTGTCCTTCTAAAGTAGAACGGTTTGTTTGCTTTCATATATATAACACTAAATTGTAAACAGCTTTCTTCTTACCTTATGTTGTGAAAATCCCACATTATTTTATATACATTCACAGCTTTTAGAAACGTTGACATGGAATTTGTGATATTTTTCTTCAAGGATTTGAATTCAAGTTGTGAAAAGTCTCTATACCTTTGGCGTGATATCCCACGTATGATGAAAAGGTAAGTTGAAATATCTGCACCACAAGAAGAAATAAAAATATTTATTGAATAATAGTAGAGTAAGGCAATATTATTTTAATACTTATCAGATATAAGAAATTAATTACAGGTATTGCTGAAATTTCATTACAGGTACTGTACACATTCAATTGCAAATTAATCATCTTTTTTTTTGTGTGTGTGCAGAGCACTCTAGTAAAAATATTAACCGCACAGCATCAGAGGTATTGAAGTTTCGTGAATTCAGTTGTCCTGTATTTAATGTGTTCATTTGAGTACAATGATTCGAAAAAAGAAATTTTCTCATTCTTTTTATCATTCGTATACTGACCTAAAAATAGTTTAAAGTCTTAACACAAAATTTGGGGACGACTAAATTTATTGATGTTCAATAGAAACGTTAATTAAAAAAAGAACGGTAATAATGCAGTTTCAGTTGTATTTGAATCACAAATATTCCTTCTTTATTTTCTTCTACTTTATCTATGAATAATAACATATTTCCTTCTACTTTAAATAAATAAATAAAATATTTCCTTCTACTTTATCTACGAAACATTAAAATAAACAACTTTTTCATTTTTCTGAATTTTGTAGAGAGAATTAAGTGTTTAAAATTTAGTGCTTATTCATGTCGAAAAATTATCTTTCCTCGTTTAGACTTGCTTTGATTTCTGGAAAAATGAATCTTGAACATTTGAAATATTACTAAATCTTTTCTTGTCAAACTACATTTAGAAAATTAATCTCGAAATTTAAGTGATTTAATTACGCACTTCATTTACTTAGTTCCATTTATATCTTCTTTACAAAATAGAAGTATTTTTAATGGTATTCTTGGATTTCATTAAAATATTATTTCAAATTTTGTTTAATTAAAAACTTTCAATACTAAATAAATATTTGCTTTCAATTTTCTAATTATTCTTATATGAAAGATTCAAGAGTATTTAAGGACTCAGATTCGAAAAAATTTAGAATTCATCCCACCTTTTATACTATAGAGTATTTTGTAATCGTTTTTCAGTTATTTAAATTTTGCACAGAAATAAATTAAAATTATCCTGTATAAGCATATCTAAAGAAAGCATTATAAAAATGATTCATTTCAGTATAAGTTCTCAGTCTGATGTGTGTTCTACAACAAAATAACTTTCTATAGATCAGTGGCAAGAAACTAAAAAAAGTATTTAACAATTATCTTTTACTTAAAGATAATTGTTAAATACTTTTACTTAATACTTCGGAATGTGATGCTTTAATTTCACAAATTAAACAGATTAAATATTTTTCCTGTATAATCCGAATTCTGTAACGATTCACTCGTCTTAACGTGAACTTTTGTCCTTCGAAAATGGAGGAATTTGTTATAGTTCTATTTCATTTCAGGCAGAAAATTTTTGTTTGGTAAGCGCATTAGCATAAGTGAAATCTAGTTAATAGCAAATAATTTTCATGAAATAAGAAATTAAAACCTGTAAAAAAAAGCAATTACATAAAAAATGAATTAGAAATTTAGAATTGCAAATTAATGCTTTAACGCTGAGCTACTACACTTTCTAAATTCCAAAATCCCAAACCAAAAGTTTACAAAATTTAACGGCCAATAAGTAACTTTATTTGCCTTCTTTTCAAGTTTAACAGGTTCAGACTGATGGGGGAAGTTAAGTTAATGTTTGAACAAATGGTTCTAAAGTGCTGTTGGATGTCTGAAAAATGCATTAAAATTGAGGAGACAGTTTAGGAAAGTGTTTGAAAACAACTCGCTTATGCTATTCACCATATCACTGGACTTATGCCATTTGAATTAGACATAGACAAAAACATGATACAGCAATTGCAATAAAAATGTTATTATTAAATTAATTATAGAAAATGAAGGACATATATACAAGCTGATGACTTCTGGAAATGATTTAAAGTTATCTAATACAATATAATAAGGAAAAAACTGACCTGAAAATAAGAAGTTAATTTCTTGTGATGAAGTAGCATTTTGAGAGTAACTTAATCGAGCTTCACATTTATACGATCCTTGTCTTACAGTTTTTTCGAAGTTATTCTTTAAATGATCAGCGTAAAAATTTATGCCGAAAAGGAAATCTTGTTGAGAAATAGGAACATTATTCTTATACCACTGATATCTGAGGTAATCATTTTTACTGTCAAAAACTCTGTCGTCGATCTGTACAATGCACTTCAAAATATACTTGCTATAATCTATACTTGGAATGGACTCTGAAATTTCGGGAGAAATCCACACTTTCATATTACCTGTAGAAATATATCACATTAGAACATATATATATGATCGTTTTCAGGTACATGTGAAAAGCGTATTACAATTATTTTCATTCATATTTTATGGATAAACATATTAACAAATACGAATACTAAAATTCAAAGATATAACGCATACTAAAGAGATAAGATTCGGAGATATGAAGAACAGAATTAGAATCCCATAGTTTAATTTTTTGATAATTCAATAAAAATTCAGCTCAAACAAACTCAGAAAAAGATCTTTATTTCTAACCATACATTATGAAGCTTTTAAACTGATAAATATTTATCAAAATTTTGAACTATTTCTTTATTTAGAATTATAAATAAATTAATTAATTAAAGTAATTGAATGATAATTTATTTATTTATAATTAAAACCTAAGATATATTTTAAATACTGTATTTAACTCATTCTTTATTCTGGTCTATTATTACTAAGTGAAGTATCAAGACTTTAATTTCTATCTGACAGTTAAGAAACACATGATAGGTATCAAAAGAAATATTTAAAAACGATAGAGTTTGAAGATATCAAAAGAATGTCTTTATTTAAAAAGCCTATAGTATTGATTAAGGTATAAGATTAAGGTTATTGGGATTCATTAAAAAAACATAGATAAATCCATTTCTTTCAAAATGCCAGTTTAGAAATGGTATATTTTCTGCGGCAGAATTCTACTTATTATTTTTTGAATTCTTCGCAAATTGAAGCATATATGAACTCCCGCAATTTAAAAAATCTCATTAATATCTGCCTTTCAAGAATTCATTTTTTATAAAAACGGATTTTCATAATGATAATACATATCACAAGCTAATGAAAACTAAAGTCTACATACGATCATTTCTGCGTTTGTGCAAACAATCAAAATCAAATACATTAGTGCAGTCTGGTACTTTCTCTTGCTCCACTTCTTCTATTTTAACGCAACGTGCTTTATAAAGAGCAGTTAACCGGCTTCTGCTTCCAGTCCTCAACCACGGAGATACTGAAAAGATAACAATGAGGTATTATTTTATCTATTTTTATAAAAAATATTTTTTTATTAGCAGAAAATTTAGCTAAGTACTAGGTTCTTGTCATCTATTATGCTAACATTTTATTCATTCCAGATAAGTCTTAAAGTTTGACTTAAGTCTTAATGTCTTATATTGTCATGTCCGCTCTTTCTTGAGCAGTTCCACTTGCTAGCATATTCCAGATAAATAAAATTATCTCGCGATAATAAGAATTAGATTCATAGATAGAAAAAAAAAACAATTTGCTAATTTTTTGTTAAGAAAATTTGTGGAATCAAATTCGTTTCGCTGTCATAAAATGATATATGTATTACTTAAGTGCGACTTCTCACACATGCTTGAAGATTAACACAACCAGGAAAAGGGTGTAAAAGATATTTTATTGATCAAAAACTATTTAACAAAAGGCACGGACTTACGTGCGTACAAAACATTACCGACCACTTGCGGTGAGAGCTTAAAAGTTAATTTTAACAATAAATTTAAAGGTGTAGTGCTTGACTACACAATTCAATTTAATCTGACACAGAAAATTTAATCTGACACAGTCTGACACAGAAAACCTACACCGGTTAATATACTAACTAGACGGCTACAATTCGTAGCCGCTACTAAGATTAACAGCTGGAGAAAAACTAAGAAACAATCAATATCGAAATCCTGCTATATCATGCTCTAACCGTTTTGCTCCAACAGCTTAAATACTCTCGTTCACTCTACTTAATTTACAGCCTTTCGAGGAAATGCGAGGGGAAATAAGAGAATTAAGGAAAGGCTCACAAATTAAAATAACTGTTACTAAAACTAAATAGGATTCTACAAATTCATCAAGAACTTTAAGTTGATGAAAAGTAAAAACTTTTGGTGTTGCCTAAGAGAACTAAGCTTTTGCCAGAAATTTTTATCTAAAAACATTTTTTAAATTTCTTTATCGAAAGCATTCTAAAAATATGTAATCACCCTCTCTATATACCAATATGCAACACTAATACGAGCCAATTTCCCTTGGAAAAATCCTCCTCGAAGAATTCTTTCCTATATTCAAATAACCCTCGTACGCTATGACTTATTAAAATAACCTAACCTAACCATATTTACCAGGAAGTAGCCTAATTGCCATTTTGCTCTATTTTCAAATGTAATTGTTGCTTATAATTTAAATTTAGTTTTCATTCTGAGGCATATTTGTTATAGTAAACATTTACAACTGAGATCAGCAGTCATACCAACAAAGATACTATATATATAACATCTAAATGTAGATATAATAATAAACTTTTTGAACTGGAATGCAATATTAATTTTAAAATGGCATAAAATGTTTACACCTATAAGATATAAATTAAAGATAAATGGAAATTTGAGAAAAAAATATAATTTTATAAAAATCATAGCTGAAACGGCAACAACAACTATACAGAAATACTTAATTTATTTTTGAAGATAAAATTTATTTATAATACCTGAGGAAGAAAATTCCCACCATTTAATAATAATTATTCTTGAACTATAGATTACATATAATAGTGAATAAAATGGAATAACTACTGCACAATATACATTAACGTAAGCAATTAAACATGTGCAAAATATATTTAATTATCCAAAAGCTTACCTACTGAGATTAATTTTATCAATTCTTCCTCTTTTACGCAGACCGCCGCTCCTGCCTCAAAAGCCATCGCAGAATTCACTGACCAGCAATCATTTAACTGTGATGGGATCGTTGCGTCTTTAGATGGAAGTATACGCACTGAAACATTCCCATCATCTTCGCATATTATGCCTAAAATAAAGGAATTGTAAATATATATTATAAGATTTTTATTGACCAGTAGTTCCAGTATGTGTAAGTCTGAAATAATTAAAAATTATTAACTCACGAACCGTTAACAATATTAAATTTCGGTCTTCCTCTTTAGTCTTAATACCAAGTTCAACGTTTTATATTTTTACAGAACATAAAAGACATTTTAAAGCTTAACGCGATAGAATGCTTTCCTTCATATAGTATCAGAATCATCATGATATCATAGATGCATTATATATTTCAAATCCGGAAAATATAATCAAGCAAATATGTTCTCGCTAGGATTCGATTATCGTTATCGATTATTGATAGCTTTTATTCGCACAGTTAATGGTTGTTAAACACTTCTGATTTCAGGTAAGAGAATTATGTGACTCCAGATGTGATTATTACAAATTAAAAAAGTTTACTTAAACCCTCAAACGAAAGAGATTTAGCATGGATTTTTATCTTCATAAGGCATGAATTATTCATTCAGGGAATTATTACCATTATTAATTACTGTAATACATCTCTAAGATGACCATCTCTGCTTCCAGATGTTTTTAGTCTTCTGTGGAAAAGGCAAACTTAGGGAGATAATGTCTAATACCAAAGTTTTTAAGTTTTCAGAAATACTGGTAACCTTTAGGCATGGTCGTTTCAGTGAAGTAGACTTCAAAGGGTCAACTGAAACTAACTTTACTATTTAAGAAAACTCATGTGAATTATAAACTATCTTAAATGCAGAAATTCTCAGCGTACATAAACAATTACGTTTTTGTCTTGCAGCCATATAGAGCATTTTAAAAGGAAATACAAGCATCCTTTTACTTTAAGATCGATCCTGTATAAGACAATTACACGTACTTCCAGATGATATTGGTCATTTGGTACAGGTGATCAATCCTATGAAAGTGATATTCGGTCTTGATGTTGATTTATGTTCTCAGAAATACTAATCACTTTTAAACAAAACGGAATGATCTTTTGAAAGGAATGATCACTCTTACATCATGTGGGGTTCTTTTAGGCTAACTACAAGTACTAAGGAACTGATCTACAAGTTGGAAGATCATGAACTTAAATTCAAATTATAACAGAATTAGTTGTAAAATTAATGAAATATAGATTTTAGAAGAATAAAATACAAGCTACAAGTATTCTATGTAGGAAATGAAAATTGTACTGCGAATCGGAGAAGATTGCTAAATAAAACACTCTAAAAGCCAACATACAATAACAGTTTATTTAAGAAATAGTATAATAAAAACTGTAATCTTGGGACTCGTAAAGATATATTTACCTGCAAAATATCATTCTCTTATGCATCAAAATTTAATAACTGAATAAGTTAAAAATTATCAATCTTTTCGAATTATAGATATGTTTAACTATTTTGCATATCATGCATCTTCTAAACTTTTAAGAAATCATCATATCTGACTTTTGAAAATGTGGTAAGCAAACTGAGTTTACGCTTCTTTAGTTCTATATTTATAAATTACTTCTTTTTTTCCTTCGATGCGTTATTTTTTCAAATATATTTCTGCTTACAGTTTCAATTGGTACTGTTCAGCCCTTTCGAATGATCGTCTTCCTAAGAGGTTCATAGCTATTAACTTTTCTGAGGATATAAATAAGTACTGATTCCCTATAATTTCTGTAATACGACATTTCCACAAAAAACCAAATAATCTGGAATCCTGATTGGCCATCTTAAAAAGAGTTATTTAATTTCGTTTTTGAAATCAATCTGTAGCTTCCAAATATATTTAACATTTACAAGTTACAGATGATATGTCGCTAATATCTCTAAAACAGCATATACCTATTAGTATTTTAGGAAATACTGAGGGTGGAATATTTTAGAAGCGAGCTTTAAAAATTATTAAAATTGTACGATAAGAGGAAGGAATTTTTTTTTTCTTAAGAAAAAAAGAACATTTTCGCAGGTAATGTACTTGCTAGTATTTATTACATGAAAAACCTAATATAAAATCTATTTTACTGTTTTAAATGAATTTTTGCAGAAATATTCCAAGCTATTACTATCTAAACCGTAAATATATTCTAACTCCAGATCAATTAATGCATGAAAGGAAAAAATTTTTAGATCGCAAGACAACTGGAATTTATCTCCAGAAATACATTGCTTATTCAAGAGATCTCGAATTATCTAACATCTTTACTTTCTTGAGAACATTAAAAATTGCTTTAAATTTATTTTTCAACTTATCCATGGTTCCAGCAATAATTTTATTTATTTTGTTTATGACAGAACTGCTATTAACAGCTTTGCCTGATATAGCTTCATGTACTAAATCTCCGATTTTTGTGACACGAAAATGGAAGATAAAGAAAGAATTATTCTTGAGAGAGACATTATAACGGTTATTTTTTACTCGCTTGTCATGTTTTATACATTACTGAGAAAGAAACTGGGTAGGTTATTGGAATTTCCAAATGAAGCCTATAAGATATTTGCTTTTATTAGTGACTTAACAATTAAAACGATAAATAATTTAAAAATAAAATTAGGAACGAGTTTATTTAAAATATGTACAGTTGTAAATGCGTACAATTAGTTGGCTTTTCTTAACATTATTTAAGTCTTTAGAGCGTAGTAAACACCTCGAAAGTAAGCTCTTCAAGGCTGTTTATTGTTTACAGTTCGAGGTTCTTGCATCCTAGCAAAGCAGAAAGCACTGTCGCTTCATTGGAAAGAAGTATTTATTGCAAGCATGGAGCGTAGACGATCCAGTAAAAAATAGTATATTCTTATATTCTTAAATAATTGCACAAGACTCCTCGCGGTGTTAAGCTATGCTAGAGCATCATAAATTTATGATAGAGTATCGTATCTTAGCAAGAGTTTTCTACTCCATTTGACCATGTTCTTTTCAGCAACTTGTTTTAGATACACAGTTTTATGTTCTTTATCTTCAATTGGCAAGAGACAGAATTTTTACACCCATCACAACTGCTTAGCTCAAAATTTTTTCAGGTTGTTAAACTGAAATCTGTATAGCTCCATACCATCTGAAGTTTCTTTCAATCTCATGATTTCGTTATTTGCTTAGTATTTCTTTTTTACATTCTATTTAATGCATATTTAATAACATTCAAGGCAAAATACATTGACCCTTGACATGAATAGAGAGAGAGAGAGAGAGAGAGATAGTAGCCAACCACTGGATTACTCAGTTGACGTCAAGAAACCACCTCCGCTTAAAATGCCGTGAGAAACATACTCGTTTCTACGAAATATCTCTTTCCTGCGTTTTGACATTCAATCTTCATACTACATCCTACTTACATTTCCGCTCAAAGCCCACTCGTAGTCCTAAATAATCCTCAGAGAAGCTTCTAAGTGGAAGATTTAACATATCATATTTTATGTGCGTTTGAATAACGGAAGAATTTTTCATAATGACTTGATGAATATTGAAATAAAATTATAGTAATTCATATATTTTATAACAAATTTAATTAAATATAGTGTGCTATTGATTTGTCTTTGATAACATAAACCAGTTTACTGGCAAGGGTAAAACAACATTTCTTACTTTGGATGTATGAATTAAGTTACTAAATAAGTGAAAAATATAGTTTTTTAATGCTTTATTTTAATAATTCCAGTTCTTATCGTTAAAAATATGTCTATTCTTTCCGCAAATGATATTTTAAGAAGATAAAAATATTTCAAATATTAAAATCAAAGAAAAATATTTCATACCTTTTTTTTAAAAAATTTCATTCAAGATTTAAAAAAGTAAATAATTTTTCTGAAATCTTTAACAAAACTGTATATTTACTTACTTTTTTCTGGGTATGGTTCTGTGTCCAGGCTTTGACAAGTAAACATTAGAGGCTTGGAGCAAGGAAGCGTAAAGAGCAAACCACTTGTAACATTCAAAGCTACACAGTCATGCTCTAGTTCTATATCTTCCCACTTGAAACCCCATTTCGTTGATTCTCTATAAAGAATTTTTTGATTTAAAATTTTTAAATATATGGTTAAGTAATGAACCTTTCAAAAATGTAATACAGAGAAAATACAAATGCTTTATTCCAAACATAAAATGAATGATATTAATTTCAACATTCAACTCTATTCATTTAAATTTTTTAAATTGTTTTCAACTGTACACTGGATGAAAAAACGGTAAGAAGAATTTTATGCAGCAATAGTTAATAAAATTTTAAAAACGCGAAATATTTTCATCTAAATTTCACATGTTCAGGCCACCAAACTATCCTGCTAATGATTCTCTGTGAGCTAAGAGAGCGCATCGAAATGACTGCTTGGCACATTCCTAAGTAGTGGGTTCAGTGAGTGAAACAATGATGGCCGATTTGCACATCATCTTCATTAGTAAGTTCAATGAGTTAAATTTGCTAATTTATAGTTGTGCTCTGTGTAGAAGCGTACAAAGCATTTGTATCAGAAACACAGTTGCGTTGCAAATTTCATAACATTTGTATTTTTTCCACTTGAACCATACTTAATAAATTCTTCCAAACAATTATTAATTTTATATATTTCAGTAACACATGTAAATATTTTTACACAGCATACATGTCACACTTACATGTCAAAAATCAAGACCATTTTTAATGATAGTATTTTAAATCACATTAGTATATAGTTTGTTAGAAAACACCTACTGAAAAAGTTCTGGTTTGGGGTGCCGTTTGATGTAAAACCCAGCTTCTCTTCTGATACCTATCCACATTATTTTCACATCTGTAAATAAAAAAATTAATAAATGCTATTTATAACCTTTCTTTTTCTATATTCATTGAACAGAAACTTTCATAAAATATGAAATTATTAACGTACATTGAAAAGGATGCAGTGTGGAGAACTGAAAAGAACTGGCATTCTCACTCATGGATTACGTAAACTGGATTTTCTGCTTACTAAAAGATATGTATTATAAAGATGCTTTTAAGATGTAATTGATGGTATAATTATCTGATTTAGAGAGAGGTCGCATCTTAAGACCTAAATGAAGCGGCGTTGTTTCGACAGACGGATCAGCCGTACCTTGATAAGTTATTATAGGAAAATGTTGTGTTAGCAAGAGTGAATTATAGAAGGTACATATTACGAAACAGACCAAGCTATAAACAAACTTATTTGGAATCAATAAGTTTGTTCGTAGGATCATGAAAACAGTCACGACTGAGCCAATCATGTCACTGTGAATCACTGTTAAGGCATCCTAACGAATCTATTTGGAGATGACTGGCAGAAGCTAAGATTCTATCTCGATATCCATTAAGGAGGTTAATATTAACTTGCCAACATGAGAAACGACATCTGGACTGAGGAAGATCTCGCTTCGATGTCGGATTGGAAAGCCTTGAAAACGAACTATTATTGACTCATACGTGTATGAAGGAGGAATGGCTAGTGTTTCAATCCCACATTTGTTATCACGAGTACAATCTGCAGCCAGATGTACTGCCTATGCTATCAAGCTACCGAAGAAACCTTTACCAACGTGATAAAATGGGACCACACGACAGTCTTAAATTCTCAGACCTATTACCAATAATACGCGTTTGGGATCTGTTGATAAGGTTATTGCAGAATTCGCACAGTACATCCGAATTATGCAACCAATTGCAAAATTTATGGCAGAATCTTTCAAAGATTATAATAAACAACTTAATTAACTTTGTGCTGTAACAAATGTAGCTATGAATGGTGGATTTTTAATTTCCTAAAATATAATGTTTTTGTTGTGCCAAGATACTAAACTATAAGTATCGTTTAGTTCTGCCATATTTTAAAAACAGTGTTTTCCTGATCCAAGATTTGAAACACTTAAAATATCTCCTGAAGCAATATTTACATGCCGAATTCATAACTATAGCTTAGTTTTTCGTCGACACATATGTTTTCTTGCCGCAAAGTTTATTTATTATAAAATTTATAAATGTTATATAAGAAAGAATAAGCATTTTGCAACGTATCTTATATTAATTAATTAACCCGCTATTATGATTTTGATTTTTACTATTATTACTTCTTCCTTCCTGGTTCCTCACCAAAATACAAATTAGCTTCAAGAGTATTTAAACTGATGGTTTTTGAATCTTAGAGAGAAGATTGCTTTGCGCTATTAGAATGACCCACAAGCTCTAATTAAAAGTGATATACCGACTATGACGTTTATTTGGTATTCGATACTTTAAATTTACTCTTCGATAAAATAATTAAGCAATCTTATATCAGTATTTCTTGAGTTTTTTTTTTTTTTTTCCAAAAGGATTGCTGAAATTTTCAGAAGTAAAATAAGCACTTTTCAGACTTCATTGAATCTGGCCTGATAATTTAATGGGCCTACATACATGAGTCTTTCTGGAATCGTTCGGAAATATTAACTAAAATTACTAAATTTATAACAAAATCATTAGTTCAGACAGACAACTTCTAACCTAAAATAAATTACTTCTAAAAAAAGAAATCTTTCGAAATACATTGAAATTTTTTATAAAGAATTAACAAAAAAGGAGCAAATTTTGTCGTTTAAATTCTTAAGCTATTAACTGATCTGCATAATTTCGGGATCTAGGAAAATCTTTTCATAAATCACCGAAAATTTTTGTATTGTATAGTTCTAAAACCATGGAATTTAATTATGTGAAAAATTCTCAAGATGGTTTCACAGCTCAATTCTTTGTTGAGGAATGTTTCAGCAAAAATTCTTTCTGGTGTTTATGTATACAAAAATTGGTGGTCCAAAAAAATTACTCAGAAATTAAAATTTTAATTTTTAACAAACATTTTAACTTTACATTTTTAATCAAAAGAAACCATATGTTCCATTATTAAATAAGTCTTTTAGAAGTTTGGATAATATTATAGAATTGTTTGAGTATTTTACACACGCATTTTCGCATATATGAACTTACCTTTTTCTTGGAGCTTGATGTGCAAAGAAGAATTTTCTGTTACTTCGCTTATTAAATAACTGAGTTCCTCTTTACAAGCAGTATCTGCCTCAATCCATGTCATACTTTGTGTGGAAATCTTTGCACATATTGCCACAGAATTATTTGATGTACTATTAAACAAGTCGAAAGTAGGAAAACACTCACATTCGTTAACTACAGAGTGACATTTTGCTGCGTCTGAAATTGATAAAATGATAAAAGATGAAAATCAACACATTTTTAAAATTACGTAAGTATTATAAACAATGTATGGGAAAATTCATAATCTGTTTTGAATAGAAATAAGAATCAAGAAAAATAGGTTTAGCACATGAAACAAGACAGCGAAACTCCTAGAGGTGGTCAATCTTACTAAAGCAAACTACCACATCTGAAAGTTGTATTCATTAGGTTATATCGATGTAGCAACATGAAAAGTGTGCAATACCCTCGTCGGGATGCAAACTCCGTACCTTCCGATTACGCCTCGGACGTGCTTCCAATTACACCACGAAGAGGCACACGGAAAGGATGGAAATAATACCCCCTATAAAGTTATCAGTAGTTCTACAAACATAAACAAGCAACTACAATGAACAAAACGATCATATTCATAGAAAGCCAAAATCATCTGGAACTATGTTAGAGGGGTTTTACTACGTTTATTTCAAAAATGTGTCGCAAAGAATTAGGTCTGTTTATTTATCGGTCTCCAGATGACGGTCATCGGTCTTTCTGCAGAGAACAAAAACACACGTATTCTTCGGAAAACAATTCTGAGTATTTGAAATGACATTTTCAGCCCTACATATACGAAATATATTTCTAATCTAATTTGGAAGTTCGGTTAATCGCCATTTTTTCTACAAGTATATATGTTAATGAAATCTCAAGGAAAAAAACTAATCGCAGTTAAATTGAATGGAACATGCCTGTAATCATGTTGTTCCACAATCAAACCAGGGACCGAAAAGCATCTGTTAAGCTAAACGTAGAAAATTATTACAACACTAGTTAAATTTTTAGGATATGGATTATGTATCTTCATGTCATATGGCATTTTTTGAAACATAAAACTCAACAATGTGGACCACAGATAACCGTCTTTAATACGGCCACTCACTAGCCTGAGCATTTTAGAATTCTGTAAGTTTGGTTTGGTTTGTTTGATTATGGCAAAGCACCCAAGGACTATCTGCCTAAGGAGAGTAATGCCTTTGAGAAAGGCTGCCTAAGAGAAATTGGCTCGTATACACGTTACACACGGGAAAACCACGAAAAAACGCCCATGCAGCCAGCCCGTTCGCTGGGATTCAAATCCCGGACTCAACTACTAGAGTTCAAGGACTTTACCATTCAGCTGCTGATGGACTTGGAACTCTGAAAATGATATTAAATAGCGATATTTATTTTAGTTCTACGGCACACTGGTCACTTTCAGAGATGGTCATATTAGAGAGCTGTCTGACACAAGACAGTTCTCATTTTGAGACACGTTTTGTATATTAGTGACACTTAAATAAAATACTTGTAATTATAAGTATCATTTAGAAATTAAAAAAATTTGTGCATTACATTGCAAAAGGTAGCTTTCGAAAATGTAGTTATATTAATTGTAAGATTTAATAACTTGAAACTATATACAGCAGGAATAAAATAAAAGTACATTAAAAATGTTGGTTAGTGCAAAAAATATGTCTTATCTATGGTGCGTATGCAAAAATCCTAAATTTTATGATATAATGCATTTTTATATTCAAATAGTACGGCTTTGAGAATTACATTACATATTTTCAGATTCTTATGAAGTAGATGAACTATTACTTTAATAATTTTCATATAAAATATATAGATGACATTTCTCCGTTTATATGTATCTTATTTCTACAATATATTACTTCTATCACTAGAACATTTGTTTACACTCTATTTTAGCTCCCGGGAAGTGAACATAGTTAAAACATTACGAGATATATCACCATATAAGGTATTTCTCCCACTTTCTTGGTGTGCCTTCGTGGTGTAGTGGTCAGACGCTGGCGGTATTCAGAGGTCCGTGGTCATTCTAGCGAAGCGGTTGCTATTTTCATCTCTACTCCAAAGATCCTAATCTCTACAACATGAGGCATGAATTAGCTTTTCTAAACCTTTAAAATAAGAAAATAGTATGTGAGTGATGTTAAGACACAATTAACACGCCGAATAATACTATTCGAATCAAACAACAATCAGCGTTAATTACAATTTTCACAGGACTAGTTTCGATGGTTTTACCGAACCATCATCTTCAGCTGCAAAACCGCAAATGAAATTCATTTGCGGTTTTTGTTGTTTGACTTCTGAATTAGTAGTGATGTTATTGTAGTTTTACAGTTTACACTTAAATGAGACTTCAGTTGAGTAAATGAAATGGAGAATGTCTTTGTTACTCACGTTTCCTCATGTGCCTTATTGTAATTCTTATGTAGCTGTTTCCCAGTTTAAACAACCCCGTGTGTAAAAATAGCTCATTGTTCTGAAACTGACTTAGATGATGAGTGACATTTAGAGATCAATTTAATTATGCACCAATAACGCAAACGCCGCCTACACGAATACTTCACTCGTGAATGGAAATCAGAATTAAACATTAAGATCAAATCATGTGCTACGTTCCGAATTAACCGAGATGCATCCAGTTATTCTGCCGAGCCAGTGAAAACTGTGGGTGACGAAGCTATAATATAGAGAAAATTCCCACAAGCTCAAAACATTTTTAATGAAATAACATATGTCCTATAGTGAGTTACACTACGGGGAAAAAAAAGGGGGGCAGTTCTGTATCTCCCATTCTACTGGGCCGACTGACGAAATTCAAAATTCAAATTGCGTTTTTCATATCTCTAAAGCCTGACTTAGGTTATAGATTTATATATAACATTGTTCTACTATAGGTATTTTGACACAAAAAAAATTGGGCTTTTTCTGAAATAACACATCAAATGTTTTCCATATTTGAATTCTACAACTCAGATTGTGCCTAAATATTAAATTCTGTAAAATTTGATGCGAAATATACGAAGAAATTCAAAACTTTATCTTGGCGCATTTTCTTCAGTTTGCGCCAAGTATAATTCCCTTGGCGAACTTCTTAATTTATAGCAACTTATTTTTGTTTCCTTTTTTTCACTGTTACACGAGCAGAAAAAATGGTCGTCGTTCATACTTTCAAATTTCAAATAATTTTAACAAAGTGCCTAAACCGCATGCGGCGTTATTATTGCGCAAAAAAAAGATGCCAAATTTCACAAAATGCGCCAATATGTAAATTCCTGTCTATTTTAAAAATGTTTAATAAAAAACTCTAATTTTTGCAGGTGTGCCTAAAAATACATCTACTTTAAGACGATGTTAAAAATTTTATATGTTATAATACAAAAATCTTTTCGAAAAATGTATTAAAAATATTTTTAAATACAAATTTTAAAAATAACGATTATAACGATAATAGATATTAATAAATGAATATCAAATTCATTTAACACTGAGGAGCTAAAATTTTGAGAGCTAATCTTTTAAAAACTACTCTTGTGATTCTTACAAAATTTGGCAATTTAGCATAATTTGAGTCGTAGAATCGAAATATTGAAAAACATTGACATCCATTTATAAAGCGTCTTGTGTTTGAAAATTGTAAAGCTTTGCAGCCGTGGGAGAATAATAATACTTGAGCATAAGGTTAAAATTAGCAATCTTGATAATCATCTTATGGAAATACGTATGCTAACGCTATCTTTTTAAATTATGTTTGAAATTTAATAATTTGCCATCCAAATTGTTCTCATCTTTTTGCCATACCCAAATTCGTTTGTTTTCTTTACCTTTATTTATCTAGAATTATTTCAGGGCATGAAAAATATTTAATAAAGGAAACAGAAAATGTATCTTTAATCTTTCGCCAGAAGTTAATTAATGTACCAATTTACATATAAAGGAATTATTCGAAACTTTAAATGTAAGCGCAAAAATTCGTTTGTGCAAAATTTATCAAACTCTCAATGCAGAGTTAAGGATAAGTTCAATTCAGTAGAAAACATGCAGTTTGCACAATTGCTTGGAAATGAGTGAGCAACACAATATAACAAAAAATATCGTCTGGTTGGAAGCATGCTTGACTGCAGGTTTCGAATTTTTTTTTCGGTGAGCACATTTTCACGTTTACTACTTCTAAATAATCTAATAACTCTGCAACTATAAAAGCAAAAACTTATAAAATGTAATTAAACTATATACAAATTTTATGTACTTATAAATTTAACTCATTGAATATGTTTTGAGAATTACTATATGTGATTTACTTTCTCTCGTCAGTACATTCAATAACGAAAAAACTTGTTTTACGGTATTATAGAATTTTAGGCAGATTATAAAGCGTATTTGATAATCTGGCATCTCTAAAGTCCCGAAGTGATAGATGTATTTCCCGAAAATTTAATATTTTCCATCTTCAAAAACATGAAAAAAGTCCAGCAAAAAGAACGTTTAAGAAGCATATTTATATTCCTAAGCCCCTGGAAACGTATATTGTTTGTAAAAGTGCATCTCAGGTCTTAAACTATTAGCAGCTACAAATTAGAATTTTAAATTTGAAGCTACAGACATTTATATTCTTAAAATATCTCATTCGCTTGAAATCCCCAAAAATTATTGAGATTTCAGAATTTAGAATTCTATAAAATGTATTGCATTCCAGATTTTCTTGTAATAATAGCTGAAATCCTAAATTCAGTGAGCTAGCAAAACTTCAAGGAATTCCATGGAAAATATTTGATGAATCCTGAATTCTTAACTTCTATACATATCCTGTTTTCATAAAATAAATGTAAATAATAAAAAATAATTCCAAGTAACAATTAAAAAGTAAGATTAAATGTTTTACGTTTATATTATGCAAAAGTTTTAATTACCCATTTTACTTTATCCATTTTATAACGGAAAAGGTTTAAAACTAATTCTTAAAATCCTCTAAGAATTTAAAACATTGTTTCATATGTCAGTGCTGTCTTAACTGAATCTTAATATAAACATGAGTCTTTGGGGTTTTTTTAGTGTTTGCGGGACATTACCTATAATACCTCTCTCAAAACTAGCAACAGATTTTCCAAAATGTGGTCCCTCAATTTGCAGAACTTCCATGTAGGATACATAATGTCTTATAC